TTCTTATTAATAAAATGTGTTCATGAAAAGAAGATAACAATGTGAACTGTTGTTGTTTATGAAACATATGTCGGAAATGAGACTAAAGAATCTGCTATGTTCCGAAACTTCACGTTTTATTTTATAAAATCAACTTAATCTCCCGCTCTCTCTCACCCATCTCTGTCCCACGCTCTGGTCTCTCTCATTTTAAATATATAATATGATCCTATTGTTCAATCATCTGTCACTTATCGCAAAAAGTCAACCGGAAATCAATTAACGCTGAATAATCTCTCACACATACAAAGTTACAAAAAAAAAGAAGAAAAGAAAGACTACAAAACTTTTACATTAAGAAAAAGTCAGATTGGTTATAAAAGAGAAATCATTTGGAAATACTCGGCTAAAGATCGTGGTTCTATAAGACAAATTAATCATTATTCATCGTCCACCGTTTCCTAAGAGACGCCTTCTCTTCTTTTCATCAAGTAGAAAACAAACCATATCAGTATCGTGATATTTTTTTCAGACTCTGAATTTTTTCCTTACAAAACTGACGGCCTATTGGCAAAATTTATGGCATTTTAAGCATTAAATGAGAGAATAACTACGGCAGCAACCTAGAATGATTTCTGCAAACAAGTGAAGTAAAGACAAAAGTTGAAAGACGAAATGGTAAAGCCATGATTTAACTAAGAAAAGAGAAAGTTTCCTCAAACACTTCTTTAAGTCAAAATATTTGACGAAATGAGGTTGCAAAACATTTTTTTATTTTGATACAAATGGCTTGCATTAATCAATAAGTTGGAGAGCAGACAAACATCAAGAAAAACAAAGATGTTCAATCAGACAACTCATGATATCACTGTTCCGGATCGACTATTTAAACGAGTGAAGAGATCCAAAATGATTTTTTTTTTCGTCTTGTCACGAGCGTGGAACAAAGAAAAAAATCTGGCAGCTTAACCCTACGTTATCCTGGGACAAAGAAAAAAATTCTGGCAGTTTAACCCGAAGTTATCCTGAGGAACTGGAATGAAAACCCATTTAAGAAAGCGCTGGATTCGACACAAGCTCCAGTGGGAGCGTGGTGGTAGCGATAATTTCGCCCTTTTTATTCTGTACATGTCTACATTAGGTGCAACTGAAGAGCCAGAAGAAACGGACCTACCAGAGGTACCTGAGGGAACTGATCTTCCAGAGGGGACTGATATTCCAGAGGCCCCTAAACCCGGAGAAGAATTTGAAAGCTCAGAGGCAGAAATATGAAACAATGAAAAAGGCGAGGGTGCTGTTTAACCCTCTATTAACTCGTAATACATACAATGAATTAACTGCGTATTTAAAGTGCGGGACCAGAAACTAGTAATGTGCTATTATATCACAAATACTTATAATTTTCATCGTTAAACATGTCGTTTTTCGAGTTTGTGCAAACTAATTTGTACCGTCATTTCGATCTATTGGCTTTCTTTTTAGTTTAATGCTTCAAACAGGTATAACGTTTCACACAAGACAAAAATTCAAGTCGTCTTATTTTTGCAACGACATTTGCTAAAAATAAAGGGATTATTCTCCGACATTGTTTTGGGAATGTAATTCTTTACTGATAAAACTATGACTTGTTACCAATTTGTTAGTATCATGACAAGAAAGATCGTATGCACTGAAAAATATCTTTGCTTTTCAAAATCCACCTTTCTTCCAGGTGCCTAGTGGAAAACTTCAAACACACCAAGATAAACATCAAAAAGTGCTAATGTTTAAGTCTGTGATCAGAGTAACTTTTGTGAAGTAATTCTCTTGTTGACATAAATGGAAAGGAAACAAATTTCAAAGTAGAGTTTCTACTTCTACTACTACTACTGCTACTACTACTACTACTACTACTACTACTACAACTACTACTACTACTACTACTACTACTACTACTGCTACTACTACTACTACTACTACAACTACTACTACTACTAATATTACAAGTACTACTACTACAACTACTTCTACAACTACTACTACTACTACTACTACTACTATTACAACTACTACTACTACAACTACTACTACTACTACAACTACTACTACTACTACTGCTGCTGCTACTACTACTACTACTGCTACTACTACTGCTACTACTACTACTACTACTACTGCTACTACTACTACTACTACTACTATTACAACTACTACTACTACAACTACTACTACTACTACAACTACTACTACTACTACTGCTGCTGCTGCTACTACTACTACTACTACTACTACTGCTACTACTACTACTGCTGCTGCTGCTGCTGCTGCTATTGCTACTAATACTACTACTACTACTACTACTCCTACTACTACTACTACTACTACTGCTGCTGCTACTGCTGCTGCTGCTGCTGCTACTACTACTTCTACTACAACTACAACTACTACTACTACTACTACTGCTACTACTACTACTAATACTACTACTATTACAACTACTACTACTAGTACTACAACTACTACTGCAACTACAACTACTACTACTACTATGACTACAATATTGCTAACTACTACTACTTCAACTAATTCTACGACTATTGCCACTAGTACTCTTAATACTACCGCTACTACACGCTGCGACTGCGCTGCGAGTCTCAATCAGTCATATAGTACTCGCAGTCCCCCTTTTCTTATAGTAAACACTGTGCGAGCGGACAGCGAACGAGATAAAACGAAATGTTGGCGATGGGAAAAAATTATGTGGCTAATAACGCTTTTCATCAACCACGAATCCATCGCTATCATATCTATTTACCAGAGTATTCTTAATTCGAACTATCCATTTAATGACCATGTAAAGCTGAATAGTATCCACAATTTACATACTCAGTACTTAGTCGACTATTACATATATATATATCCTATAAACTACGGTGTTGTACAAGGGTTTCCAGTCCTGAGAAAAGCTGTAACAACACACGTGAAAAAATACGATATTTTTTCATGCGCGTTTGATATCGCCAATCATCTGCTGACGCGTCACTCGCCTTTCGCGCCACTCACTGGTCAGGTTGACGAATGAACGTCAAAGCCTTCATCATTCTCAATTCATGGTTATTTGTCTGAATTTGCTAACTCACCAAAAATCCGTATTGCTTACAGAGAGTGACTTTCAAATTTTTCTAGAGAGGAAAGGAAACCAAAATACGAAAAGAAAAAGCGAAAGTTACGTATTCAGTGCTTTGGTAACGGCATTTCTCGCGGCTGAGAACGAAAATCTACAAATGAAAGATTTTACACGGGCCGATTTTAGCTATGTAGCTGAAATATCTTTAAAGGTAGCGAAAAAGTCAATAACTGACAATTTTGTATATTGAAAATTACGCCCACAGTTGTTTTGTAATGATTCAGGGCTTTTTTTTATATTGAGCTTTGACGTCAACGCAATTTACTATTTTTGTTCGGGGATCATCGATCCTTTTGTTTTCATTTGTTAATAAAGTCTACTTTTCTCGTCAGTCAAGGGCTATTGCGTTTATATGATAACCAAATAATACATGGTGGCTTATAGATATGGAATTTCTCTTCTTGTGTTCAACAATTGAAGAGAAATTCTATATCTACCAGCGCCCATGTATTATTCTCTATATATTCACACACACACACACACGCACACGCATATATATATATTCACGCACTGTACGCACCCATTTTCAAAAACGTAGCAATTTTGAAAATATATATTTTAATAAACAAGTGTTAAAAGTGTATATATCTTTTTTATGGGAAAAGAAAAGGTATCAATACACATGTTTTCAAATTTGCAACGTTTTTGAGAACAGGTGTATAATATTATGTGTATCCATCTATAACTTTTTGTAATTTATTATGCTGTTAATTTCGTATGTTATTGGCCAGTCGTAATCTCATAATTAAAGAGTTTTTCACCCTTTCAGAGGCCTAGTTCTTGGTAAAATGTATGGTTTAAATTATCGCTTCACAGCTAAACACGTCCTTTCTTGATCCAAACATATTTTAGAAACTATGCTTTGACAAAAAACATAATGTAACTTACTCTCTACACCAAAGAAGGGGAAAAAACAAAAAGAAGTAGTAGAAGAACATTTTTGAAGATTGACTCGTACATATAAAGTTTTAATTATAAATGACTTCGATTAATCTTTTCATCTATCGCTACGCTGTCAACAGAAATAATTCAAATCAATAGACGGCAATTTACTTCACGCAAGGAATCAAGCAAACCTAAGGACAATTGAAGGTTTTCCATTTAGAATCTTCCAGAACAATTCAGTTGTTTCAAATGTTCTGAAACAGTTTGCCATTATGGCAAACTCTACCAACCAAATGGTGGTAACCCATTGTTTGGCCCAAACTATCCTACCGTCGCTGTATATTCGAGTAGGAGGGAAGTTACCGAAGTGTTCCGGGATACACTTCGGTAACTTCTCTCCCACACGAATATACAGCAACGGTAGGTTAGTTAACTAGGTCCCCATCAACATATGTAAGGACCTAAAATTAAAAAAAAAACCAACAACAACAAAAATGTTCCGATTTTCAATAACAGATAAAAATTTTGCACCGACGATCAATAAACGACTAACGAGCATGCTTGACATGCCGTCACGATATTTGCCAAAGCCCATTCATACGCGGAGTTCTATTTACCTTTTATTCACAATAGATTTAGCCAAAAGTTATCCCGGAAGGAAGAAACTAATCGATAATCCCAAGCATACAGTTTAGAAGCCAAAACATGATAACTTGCCTGCAGATTATAACTAGCAAAGAGCACGATATTACGACGGAGTCAATGGATTCTGTTTCAGCGATACACTTTTGTTAAGTGTATGATTGAGTGTAACAAATACTATATCGATCAATGACAAAGCAAATTTAATTTTGTGAAAAAGGTAGAGAACAATTGACGAATTAGTTTACACTGACTTTGATTGATTTCTCCTCAATAGCACTCTTCAACGTCATCAGCATTTTATATATATATATATATGTAAACTGCTACTGAACAAGAAATCTTCAAAGCTAGTAGTCTTATTCAAGCCAAGATCCAGCTGGAGAAAAGATGATTTCAAGGTCGCATTTTATTCTTTATGCTGCCATACTTTTTGGACAGGTTACCTGTTTCCCATTGCCGCAACAAGGAGGTAATTTAGACTCATTAGCTTCCCTTCGCTCCAATGAAAATTTTAAACTGAATTTGTCCTTGAATTAATGGCAGTTAAAAATTTAGCTGAATTCGCCTGTGTCAATCATAAGCATATTGCAGTTACAGGAAATTCTTTATTCCGTTGCTCAGATGTTTTCACACTGGCACACACTCTGCAAGATCACAGACTTGACTTTATGAATGCTCAATTTCTAAATGCATGTGTAAAATTACAAACTCGACATTGAAGATGTCTAAATCTGTTAAGGAATTTTTCGAGACCTCTCACGAAGTTAAGTAGATATAAGAGTTTTAATTGGGCATATTCCAAAAGAAAAATAGTTTCTTGATTTATTCTTGAGACCGTAGGTTTTTACCAACACCGGAAGGTTACCTCAGTTTAAGAAAATTGCCGTAACTATTTAGCTGAAATAGATTTATGGCGAAGAAAGAAAGGTCCCATCAATTTGGCGAATTTATTTTTCTCTTCTATTTCTTCATTGGTGGAAAAAACACACAAATATTTCATATGGAAAAGAAAACGTAAAGGATAGATAATTTGATCATGATTTGGGAGTAAAGAGTACCTCGTTTTTATAATAATGTGCAACGCTGTCTGTTCAATTGCCTATAAGAATTTTTCGCCCTCAGCGAGTCGTTCTCTTTATGTGTGGTTTTCTTAAAAGAGAATTTACTTTCCAATATCTAATTAGGACTAGTCTCGAAATCTTCTTTTTTAAAACCTGACGCACATACACCTATTGTAATCGCGGTGGCCCTTGAACTTGAAGTCACTGAGGCATGTGATTACCTTTACTTTACAGTGTATAGCACTAGAAAACTTTGCAAACCAATTAAGGTCGCGTTTCAAGCTCGTTTCAGCATGACGAGATCGGAAGCATTTTCGGAAAAATTTAAAAACAATTTACAATGGAAAAACCTAAGATACGCAATCAAGTAATTTCAGATATTTACCTCGTGTCGCAATATTAGTCAAAAATTAAATCTTTGTTTTACCGATAGATAGAAGAATACAGGGATAAATTATGCAATTTTTAGAAGTTATCAAAGGAAAACTTATTGAACAATGCTTAGGTATTTTTACAACAACAATATCAAGAGCATCACAAGATGTAAATTGGCACATTTCAAGGGCGTGGAGGGACTTTAAAAAACTTTCTCCTCCCTTTAAGCATTGCCAAATCGAGCGCAATGGTCAGCGACAGCATTACCTCTAAGATCATTTTCACATGCTTGCGAAATGGATGAATACATTTATGTTGATTGTTTCCACGGGAACATGCTATTCAAAGGCAAATTCGAAAATTCGAAATTCACTATGAAGCTTCATTCGTTCAACTTCAATAAATAGTTCGTGCTGCTTAAATAGCATTATAGTTTTATCGACTTTGGAAAATTGCGTCCCATAGGTCGATAGAGCCGAGGAGTAAATTGCATTCTTATAGTCTATTAGTTGCTGGTTGGTGACCAGAGTTGCAAATTCGGGAATGTTCCATTCCTAGATTTTGTCAATAAGAACAATAATACTGATACAAATTCAATTACGCGTGCTTTAATGTATGCTTATGAAAGCAACCTCAAATCATATGTGCCTATGCCGGTTATATGGTTGAACATAACCTATAAATCGCTTTTTTTCTGGCTTAGGTAAAGCGATTTTATCGGTGCCTTAATGTTACAGTAATCGTGTGTGTATCTTTATCAATATAAATAGTTACACTCGCTACAACGGATTTACCAGAGGAGACAGAAGCACCAGGAGCGACTGAGGGGCCAGAGGAGACAGAAGCACCAGAAGTGACTGAGGGGCCAGAGGAGACCGAAGCACCAGGAGCGACTGAGGGGCCAGAGGAGACTGAAGCACCAGGAGTGACTGAGGGGCCAGAGGAGACGGAATCACCAGGGGCCACTGAGGGGCCAGAGGAGACTGAAGCACCAGAAGTGACTGAGGGGCCAGAGGAGACTGAAGCACCAGAACCAACAGAAGGACCAGAGGAGACAGAAGCACCAGGGGCGACTGAGGGGCCAGAGGAGACTGAAGCACCAGAAGTGACTGAGGGGCCAGAGGAGACCGAAGCACCAGGAGCGACTGAGGGGCCAGAGGAGACTGAAGCACCAGAACCAACAGAAGGACCAGAGGAGACAGAAGCACCAGGGGCGACTGAGGGGCCAGAGGAGACCGAAGCACCTGGAGCAACTGAAGGACCAGAGGAGACAGAGGCACCAGGAGCTACTGAGGGACCAGAAGAGACTGAAGCACCAGAACCAACAGAAGGACCAGAGGAGACAGAAGCACCTGAAGTTGAAGAGGGAGGGGAAGGTGAAGAAGAAGAAGAAGAAGAAGAAGAAGAAGAAGAAGAAGAAGAAGAAGAGGAAGAGGAGGAGGAGGAAGAAGAAGAGGAGGAAGAAGAGGAAGAAGAATAGGACGACGAAGTGGAGGATGACTAAGCCAGAATTCATGTGTTTGTTATGTGTTTTTCTTTCTTTTCGTTTCTAAACTCAGAAAATGAGTTCAGGTGCGACAGATATATGCATCCTTTTATCACACCAATGAAAGCTAGCTCCTTGCTGTCCATAGCTTTCTCTTAAAATTTATTACCATAATTTTTGTTCATCCAATCAAATATATGGTTTCCTGCGTTGATCAGCCCAAACACATTATCACAACCGGTTGTGAACAGTAGCCAGGAAATTGTACCAAATTTATCAAAAGACTTTGTAAACAAACCGCTACCATTTTTATTAACCATATATATTTTTAGACAACGACAATAAATATTTTGGACGGTCAGTTTTCTAGAAATGATAACTTAATCTCAAAGTTTTCTCCCCTAACCTAGAAATTGTAGTGGAATATTTAGTTGGTCAAGATGTTTGATTTGTATAAAAAATTTAAATTGAAAGTCCTACGTTATATGGCCTAAGTGATCACGATGGGGCACTCGATTTTGAATATTTGCCGGACTTTTCGAACTCGAATGTCTTTTCTTGAATTGTGTTGGGTGCTTTCGTATGAGTTTTTGTAACTATTTAGGTTTATTCGATTATTTTTTGGTAAGTGTTGTTTAGTTAGTAAGAATTGTGGTAAGTATCCTGGCAGAGTCTCGTCCTCTGATAGCCCAGTTATCCATCCAGCTATACCTAATTACCTCGATTAAAAAGTGTAACTTTTTTCATTAACAATATATATCATCTTACTAATTTAGATGTTGACCTCCATGTGCCCACTGTCCAAAATCTCTCAGCGCAAGTCCAAAATGATATATGAATCACCATGGATTGAAATTCAAAGTGATACAGGGCACAATATCGTTTGTGGGGTTTTTTAAAGACACCAACATGACAATTAAGATAACTTCCTAAATTATATTAGCATGGTTGTTGAAATGATTCATTGTGAAAAAAAATATTATGTATTATTGGGAGATTTCAACTTTCTCAAGTTTGAATCAAATCCCAGTACAGAAAATTTCCTAAATACCGTAGGCACATTTTATTTTCAACCTCAAATTCTGCAGCCTACTAGAATAACAGATCCCTCAGCAACTCTTATTGACAATATTTTCTTTAATTCCCTTGAGCACTTTTCCATAAGTGGAAATTTATGTTATGATCTATCTGGCCATCTACCAAATTTTCTTATTAAAGGTAGAATATCTTCTCTACCAGTGAAAACGAGATAATTAAAATTTTGATAAGCAAGCCCTGATTAATGACTTTCATTAAATAGACTTGGATGATTTTTTTGGAGATGGTTTGAACCAAGCAGTATGTTTGATAGTTTCTTCAATAAGATATCTGAGGTCATTGATATACCCATCAAGCATTAGAGTAAGGAATAGTCTATTTAAGAGATCTTAAAGACAAAATCTACCTAGAACCAAGCAAAGTTTAAAATTTACAGGAACAAACTGAATCATCTAATCAAATCAAGTGAGAGAAATTATTATAAAAATTTCTTTTCAATTCATGAAAATAATGGAAAATAAATCTTGCAAATAATTGAACAAATTGTTCACATTAACCTACTGGTGAATCAATCGGTCAGCAATATAGTATTGGAAAACTGTGAAATAACTGATCCTAAATCAATAGCTGATGCATTCAATCATTTTACCAAGATAGGTATTAATCTTGCAAGCTCTATTCTCACTGCTACAAAAACTGCTAGTGAGTTTATGCCACTTTCTTTATGTGATAGTTTGTTTTTGTCCCCAGTTACTGCAGATAGAATCCAATTAGAAATGGCCAAACTTCAAACTGGTAAGGCTGTGAGCCCTTCTAGCATTCCTATCTCGATTCTGAAGATTAGCAGGTCCCTCTATGTTTAATACATCTTTCTTACTGGAATTATCCCACATAATTTCAAGTTTACTAGAGTAATACTGGCCTTTAAGAAAGGCCCTCAGACAAACTTAAGTAATTATAGGCCTATTTCTCTTTACCTATGTTTAATGAGTTGCTAGAAAACTCACGTTCAGTCGGTTAGTTGACTTCTTAGACTAACGGCACCAAATTTACAACAAGCAGCTTGGATTTCGCTCATATCATTCAACTGATCATGCAGCGCTAAGTATTATTGACCAGTTTGCCCATATCTGAGCAACAGAACACTGGGTTCTGTTATTTCTGATTTGCAAACAGTGTGGGGTGCCTCAAGGATCAGTACTAGGGCCACTCCTTTTCCACATTTATGTAAACGACTTTCACAATTGCTCAAAACTATTGGATTTCATGACACCTTTTTGCTGATGTTGCAAATTTGTTTTTTAAGAATAAGGACATTAACATACTTGAAATAAAAATTAATGGGGAACTTGGAAAAGTACATATTTGGCTATCTACAAATAAGCTTTCTTTAAAGATTGAGAAGTGAAATTTTGTTATTTTTCATCCAGTTCAAAAACAAATTCCCAAAAAGATTATGCTATTTATAAATAAGCAATCATCAAATAAAGAAACTTCCATTGGATACCTTGGAGTTTTTTTTTATAGTCAAATATTAGTTGGAAGAGCCACGTTAACTATACTGCTAAAAAAATCGATAGAAGGATAGGTATTCTCTCTAAACTTCGTTATTTCCTAAACACAAAAACGTTGCTAAGCCTGAATTATACCTTCGTAGAGCCATTCTTAAATTATTGTATACTTGCTTGGGGTAATGCATATCAGTCAACGTTGCAACCTTTTATTTACATTACCAAAGAAAGCAAAGAATAAAAACCTTTTTCAGTTTCACTGAACAATGGAATCCTTTATCCAAAGACTTGAATGTTATCTAGCTGTGTGATATCATTACCCTTCAATTTGCAGTGTTTATGTGAAAGTTCCATTACAAACTTTCACCTTTAGTCTTTGAGACCTTTTTTTAATCCTGTTAGTAACATAAATAAATATAAAACTAGGTTATCCTCAAGGATAACTTGTGCTACAGGGCGCTAAAGTTTGGAATTATATAAGTGTTGACATAAAGCTTCTCTCTCTTCAATGTTTTAAGAAAACGTTTATGTCAATTCTTATTGGTAAAAATTAATTGCAAATTTACCAAAACTATAGTTTCTCTGGCTTTCTGTTGTTCAAAACTGGCATACTTAGCTTTATTTTGTTGTCTTTCTTTTTCTACTAGTTTTTTTCTCTTTATCTTTTAAGTGTTTTGTGTAGTGTGTTTGCGCGTGTGTGGTACCTGACCCTTTAATATGACAATTTATTAATGACCTAAGTAAGGCTGTCCTATCTTTTTAGCCCCAAATGTTTATTATGGGCAGTCTAAACTCTCCTCATTTTTCATGTAATATTAATGTAGGGTAAAAATAAAATTGTTTTTGTTGTTGTTGTTGTTGTTGCTCGTCCGGTCTTGGTTTACTGGGCCGTATGTGGACATGAAAACGAGATATCTAAGCAGTTGAAATACGAAATCGAGAAAAGCCGAAAGAATCGGCCTGCAGACATTGAAAGCTAAAGTAAAAACACGATACATTGCAGTTCAAACCAAAGTTTAGAACAAACGCCGAGCAAAACGGTTAAGATGAATGACATAATACATAAGAATATTTCAAGTGAAATAAAAAAATATAACAAAGCAACAGGGGCTCTAAACAAAACAAAATGACCAGTTGATGAAAATTACTAGACGACCAAAATAAGAAAAAAAATGCAAGACTCCGTGCGTCAATCAAATTGATAATAGAAAAAGCGCGGCTCAAGAATCAAAACAGCAATAATGATCAGGCGCAGTACTGGCTCCGTGCTCGAACAAGGAAAGTAATTGGACGCAAGGGTTTCTACCAATAGAAGCTTACAAAATCAAATCAAATCACATAACTCAATTGAACGCTTTCCAAGTTGCCTCGAACAAATTCAAGATAACTCGGCGTCAATAAAGAGTATTGTTGAAATCCGACGCTCTCGTATAATAACTAGCACTAAGTATTTCTTTCATGATTCCTTATGAGAAAGAAGTAGAAAAGCGTTGGCCGAGCATGAATTTTAAATTCTATTTTTACCGAAAAAACTACGGCTTTAAGTTTTCATAAACTTTAAATGAAGGATGTTAGGTAAAAAGGGTCCCAGTAGTTTCGTGCCCACGGACGTTCCGTCCCCAAGTTTAGGCGATTCGTACCCAGGTTGGGTTTGGCCCGTAACTGTTAACTGACGAAACTGTATTTAGGATAGATTAAATTAAAGAGAAATGCTCAATTGTTGGAAAAAAAGAAATTATTCATCTTTTCTAATGAAACTTTCTCGACATTTTTCAAAATGTTTGGCTGCGACGTCACCACAACTGACATTTGTCTCATTCACCTATTTAAGGTTAATGAAAAGACGATCAAAGTTTCAAACCAGAAAAAAACGAATTGAGTTTCTTATGCGATGTCTTAGGCAAAAATGCAAGCTTTCCCTTCATCTAATATGGTTGTGTCTACTACATGGTGCAAAAATTTTGAACTCATTTTAAAACTAGTGACAAACTCATTATAATTCGTTTCATGTGCTTTGTTTTAATTTGTTTTGGAGCTAATTTTGTGAACTATGTTTCAGAAAAAAGTATAACAGAGGTCCCGTGAGTCTTGACTATCGCAAAATGAAAAAAAAAGTTTCTTAAAAAAAAAACAACAACAACACAACTGTTAAACGACAAAAACAGCAACGATGTGTTTTACTCGGCAATTACTTCAAGCAAGGGATCAAGAGTATAAATATTGTAAGTAGTCACGGAAACCAGGTTATTTAAAAACCCAAATCACCATTTATTCATTTAAAGTCATGAATCGCTTAGTTTTACGGATGAAAAATACTTTTTCTGCGAGACAGCGAACTAAGGCGGGAAAATCCATGCAATTATTTGGACATGAATTCATTGGGCGTGTGACGACACACACTTGAAATAGCCTCATAAGTGATTAATAAATTTTATAACCATTGATCTCACCTAGTATTTTTTCCATAAATCGCACCCTTATTTCTAGAAGTAACTTCGATATTAAAGAAACAACGCAACGCATATTTGATAAGTGATCCAGTCAGCTACTTTACTTTACTTTACTTTGAAAACGTCTTTAAACAAAATTCGTCGTTTTGCAATCCATAGCAGTCTGTGTCCATTACATTGAAAGGAAACTGCGCGCACGATGAATTATCAATGCCACAGAAAATAAGATGAGGTTGGAAGTAGACAGGGACATGCCTCCAGAGCGAAGCTGACTTCCTCTCATAGCGTCGCTTCTACTCTCGCCCTTATCTTCTTCGCTTTTACCCCTTTTTCCTTTCTTTCCTCCTATTCTCCTGTTCCAGTGGCCTTCATCCTCTCGGTCAGAGAAGTCTTCCTCATCGTTTCTCCTGCTGCTGTCGTCTTGTTCATCATTTCGCCTTCTTAAATCATCATTGTCGTCACCGTTTCTATCATCTCTTCCTCTTTCGTAATCATCTTTATCATTTCTGCGATGGTCACTGTAGTCATCATTCCTTTCATTATCGTATTCGTTTCGGTCATCGTTCCGTTTGTCAAAGCCATGCTCACGATTGCCTCCTTTCATTTCATAGTCGTCTCCTTCGTCATCATCCTCTTTGCCATTGTTTCTATCCAAGTCTTCATCATTAGACTTATCATCCCTCAAACCTTGGTCACGGTCATCTTTTTCTCTTTCATCATCATCTCTTTCATCATCATGGTCTCTGCTGTCATCTGTGATGAAAAGACATAAAATGCTTTAAAGTCAGTAAATGAATAAAAAGTGTGTTACTTCTTCATTTCCAAATTTTGCTTTTGGAAAAGGTAAATGTAAGTTTGTTTATGGAAGCCACAAATTGGAAAAAAAAATTCCTTCGGCTCAAGGCTCCTTCAAAATACCCTCAGTTCTCAGTACAAAGCAACTATGTTAATTTGGTTGGTGGTTGTTAGATAAATCACTTGTCACTGATGATCTACAAAGTGTTCTTTTAGTCGATAAAACGTGTACAACGGCAAGTAGGCTGAAAATTTAAAAACATTTTTCTGAAAAGTGATGGTTGATCTATATGAGGCGAAGGGAAGCTGCAAAGATCGAACCTTGTATACTACAAAATACTAAATGAAGTAAGACAGGACAAGAAGCTTGCAAGTTTAAAGAAAAAACCCTCTACATCAACAAAATGAGAAAGGAGTCGGGAAAGGAATATACAGCAACCAGTGTCTCGCGTGGTGGGGACAGAGAAGCAGTTTAAAATGAAAAGGAAACAGGTTAAACCATAATGTTCCTTACCTTCTGGCATCGGAAAAGAACTTCCCCAACGGGGTGCCAGTAGAGTTAGAAAACAAAGAAGAACCAAACTTGAAGGTGCCATTCTGGTTATTCAAACTTCCAAGGTGTAGCTTAGGTGCGTTCTTTCCCACTCTTTGCTTCATGATTTATAGCTTTTACTGACGTAAGTTGGATTTAAAGTTAATTACGACTGTTTTGCAGTTTCCAGGAAAATATTTTGTCTCGAAGCAAAAGATTTGATATTAACTGTGTTAAGCTGTGTAAAAATTAACGACAGCGTTTTCGAAAAAGAAAGCGACCATGATCTAACAGAGGAAAAATTTTAATATATGTCAATATGGGCCTCCTTCTTTTCTGAAGATGGCAATATAACTCATAGGATTAGAGTTTTTTGGCTTACGGAACTTGCTCGTCATGTTTAACTCAGTGAAACGATTAATATTATCAGTTTCCTCAGAAACAAATCCCAAAAAGTGCAACCAACTGCCTTCCATAAGACAACGGAGGTGAAAGATACAACATTAATAGCTGGAGTTTTAGTTAATCGCGTAGTCAATAGCATTGCAAATTAAAGTTTGTATTTGACTGAAATTTTCTAAGTCAGGTTTTAGTGACTTCCACCTTCAATTAGAGTGAAGTATTTAGTTTTGATAAGTGGTTATATTCGCCTGACCTTGATGAGGATTTAAGTGATTACCATTGCGTTGGTCTCGTATCACTTGTTTTGCTGCCTCTTAACAGATCAAATTAATGCTCTCGATGTCCATTTGGTGTTAGTTTTAATTAAAGAGGGTACTTCGTTAAACTCAAAGCGATGCATCACCCTCAGTTTCTAGAAAGTCCCAGTAAACATGACCGCCCCAAAGCCATATGTTAGAGGTTTCAATCCAATAGCACTGAGTGCCTTGACTCAAGAAACAGGCAAATCTAAATTAGTTTCATGGTATTCTAGTTCATTGAATTTCAAAGCTGATAACATCCTAGTATTAAATGTAAATTGGTTAAACGAAAAACAACTATTCTGGACATGGACAGGTAACTACCGGTATACTTGAGAATAGGCCTTAGATCTCTGTATCGATATATTTTCTCGTTTGAGATTATGCGTGCGAAGAGCCATTCGGAATGTTACATCACTGAGAAAATTTAAAAACAGAAAACATGCATGTCATCTAGTAAGTATCAAACGAGCAGAAAAAAAATCATTATAATTCGCTTATTAGAAGACACTTAACTGCCCGTGTTACATATGTAAAAATTTGAACATTATGAACAGTGCAACAATTGTAAGACAACGAGGTGTTGATTACTCGTAGTGTACATGTAACAAATTCGTTATGTGGGGTTGATTTTCATGTATACCATCTATGAATTTATTTTATAATCTGTAAAGAATGATTTTACCATCACTTTTCCTCGGCGGAATTTTGAGTAAGAGATGTGGTATGTTATTATCATGGCATTTTTGGAGTTAAAAGGATTTCTTCTTGCTTTCTGTATTCCTTTGCTGAAACCATGATAGAGATTTAGCCAGAACTATTTTCATCGCTTAATATTATCGAGATTCTTCTTTTTCAACAACATCATTCTGATGTTGGATAGGGTAGAGGGTCTCGACACTCACCTACGAATGTCAATATCGGACTGTCGGAAAGTCGTTTCCGGTCGTATTAATTAGCTCCAGAGCATTCTCTAACAAATATATAGATATGTTTGCTTCCCATTGCTTAGGACTGAAGTTCCTTAAATTTCATAAGAGGAAAAAATGTTCTATGAACAAGAAATTAATATAAACGTATTCCGTTGATAGAAAAAAAAAGGAAAAGGAGAAGGAAAACCTTAAAGATGACACTTCCAACCTTATTTGAAAGATGACAAATAGAAACTTCCCTAAAACATCCTTAAACGAATTTATTAATTAGTGTTTTGTTGACAAGTCATAAGTACTTTAAAGTACATTTTACGGTAAGCTGCTCGTGAGAATCATTAGGTTGATGAAATGCCATTTTCCAAACAGGAATACATACGCTAAGAAGCTATCAAGCTAGGTGTCAAATAAAAATGTACTCATTTTTCAGGTTTTTGTAAAATCATTTCTAGGTCCACTTTTGTGTTCTATTCATGTGAAATTAAAAAAATAAAGGTTTGTACCAAATGATGCTCATAAAAAGCCATGAAATAAAGCCTATCAGAACTTGAGCATTTCCTTCCTTAGCTGAAAGCGCACTCGATGATAACGAGTCGAAGTTCATAGCAGCTGGATCCCGATTGATGTCAGTATCATCGCTGAAATTAGCACTACCATCGCCACTGTCTTCCCCATCATCGTCATCATCATCATCGTCGTCGTCGTCGTCACCATCATCGTCATCATCATCATCATCATCGCCGCCATCGCCATCATTATCGTCATCGTCGTCATCGTCGTCATCGTCATCGTCATCGTCGCCATCGTCATCGTCATCGTCATCGTCGTCATCATCGTCATCGTCGTCATCGTCATCATCCTCCTCATCATCTTCATCATCATCGTCGTCGTCATCGTCATCATCGTCGTCGTCATCGTCATCATCTTCGTCGCCGTCATCGTCATCGTCGTCGTCGTCATCACCATCATCATCGTCTACGGAGGTTGTTATACAACAACATTAGCGTTTAAAAATACTAATTCAGAACCTTAAATTTCTCCAGTAATACTTAAGCATTTCATCGATAGTTTGAAAAGAAATATTGGGTATAACTACTGGTTATATTAAATGATTATAAATAATAGGAATACATGAAACAACTTTCTACACAACCTTAGAAGTAATTAAATAAATGCAATTCAGAGAAATTTAGAATTCACATACGATTGCACCAATTAACAAATAGAGAAGCCTTGACTGTTTCTTCCCACTTCTTGAGTGCTCTTGCCGCTTCCTGCGTGCTTTATAAAAGAACAGAGCACAGTCAAGGCTTCTCTATCTGTTTTATAATAAAGAATCCGTTAAATCACCCAAGCATTACTTTCAATTTTCAAAACAAACTTTATTTCCAAAGCGAACAAC